CCGAGGAAATAACGTTTTGTAAGTTAGCCGTAGATGTTTACACAAAGGAACTGTACATAATTGAACTGGAAATATTGAAGGCGATGGCTTACAGAGAGCTTATTTTGAATTGAGAACTATCTTAGGGATGCGACGGTAAAAATCTCTATTCTTGACGGTTGACGGTTAAAATTTGGGCAATGTGACAGTTGGCGATTAACCTCATTTAGACCATCCTCTGAATAAAAAATTAAAAAACTGAAGTGTTTACGACACGTGACCGAAAGAGGTTTGTAGGTTGACTTAGTTTTCAAAAGCGCTCCCTTATGTCGGGTTCCAATTCCATCGTACCGATTGACTAACAAATCCAACACCGAGTATTATATCACTCCTCCACCATCCCAGGTTTTTGTGAACTCGATAAACATAAGCTGCGAGTCTTACAGCGTCTGGAATGTTCGAGGCCGGAGACATCAAGAAAATTGAGAGCACTTATTTTAGTTCAATACATCATCGGTTTTTACGATTTTTGAAGGACATCCGAAGCATATGAAAACTTCAAGTTTAGGGCGTCAATGATTCTTCAAACAGATAATTTTTAGCTCATCAACAATAGTTAAATGCTCGGCTACAGTATAACCAAATTCAATATCGGAAGAATCGTGGACATTGACGTTGAAAATTTCTAGATACATCCCCATAACATGTATGGATGACTAAAAAATAGTAACATTTTTTATCCAGGATCTTCTGAATTTTCCCATAGATAAAAACCAGCCTTGGCTCTGCCAATAAAATAAGACCCTACTTACATTTCGGCGCCTAGAATGTTTTAACATTTTGTTCGGTAGATCTTTGGAATCTTATTCGCTGCTATTCTTATTGATGTTTTAGGCACAAGTAAGTGTTTTTACATTTAACTGAGTCGTGATGACTCATAGGAGCCCGTATTAAAATGTATGTCTGAAGGTGGAGTTTAAAATGAATGAGGGCCAGGAGCCCATTTAAGTTTCTTAGCAACCTATCATCGGCTTTAGATTCCCTCATTAAATATTCTCTGTTCAAATTTTTACACAAATTAAAAACCTGTATGTGACACAAAAAAACCCTCCCACAGGTCTCGTTATGTGTGTAAATCTTGATTGCTTGTACGCCCACTCAAATAACAAGACCAAGAAAACGGTTTTTACTATTATTATCTTTTTTTAATAACCCTCTTTGATGTTATTATCAGTTCTGGCGACAGTTTACAGCGCAGTAGAAATAGTATGCTTTCTTCATGAAATCAGCACGTCTAATAATCGGCATGTTCGGCAGGTTTCTTACTCTACTTATAAGCCATTCTCTCGAGATTGAATCCAACTCAAACTCTCTACAAAATTGTGCGAGCCCGAAGCTAAAATAATATATAGATTTAGCCAAGCCTAAAAGCGGCTCTCGCATTAATATACTAGTGTTTGATGCATATATTTCCTTAGCTGAGAGAGCTTTTAGGACTTTATTTCTCTGTGACATAAATTTTAAATTCAAACGTTCAAACCACACATCTCAATTCCCGCCTCCTAAAATCAACTCAAATAAGCGTTTGTAGATCAAATTTTCAGACGAAAATTTAATCAGGCTTAATAACACTGTCTAAACTGCGCCTTTTTTGTGCAAAATATGAACATGGCTTTATTTATTGATTTTTCTAAAGGCTTCTTTTCTTAAAACTAAAGCTGCACACACATGTCAATATTCATAATTTTTTTCTTTATCAGGAACATTTAGTTAAAGCCATTTGTCTGGTTCCTTTTTTTATTTAAGTCGACAAAGTTAACGAAATAAAGCAAATATAGAATTAATTCTGCGATCTCTTTTTTTTCACATGCGTTTACCGCTAATGAAATGAAAATAGTGCCAGTTTAACATCGCCTTATTTCGGTATAAAAATAATTTAGAATTTCATCGACATCAGAACAGGGAAAAATCATATTCGTAAGACAAAGGATAATGAATTTTCAGTCATTTGTGCAGCTGGCCAAAAACGGGCTGTCTTTGAAATAGGGTAATTAAGTACTGTCAACTGATTTTATAACGTAAATTGGCCACCGTGAAGAGTTTTAAAACACTAAAAAGCCAAAAAACAAAAAAACAAAAGCAGACATAGTTATCAAAGCGGCCGACAAAGGTGGCGAAGTCATTGTTTGGCGGGCCAACCCCTGACAAAAGGAAGCTTTGACAACGATCTCACTTTCATCCACTAAAACATTGTAGGTTTTACCGAACACCAATTTTTTCGGTCAATACAGCCGCCCTCAAACCTGAACTTTACGTCGCTACATTGACGACTGCAACGGCGCTACTTCCTCTACCAGAGAGGAGCTCGCTCAATTTATAACCGCCGACAACCGGTGTCGACAAAATCTGGATCGGACCGGACTGGATTACGGATCAGATCACGGACCAAAAAAAGTGTTTTCAAAAATGGGAAAAGAACAAGTCGTTTATAAAATAATAATAATAATAAATCGTCTAAAGAACTAAAATATGTGAAGTTACGAGCCAAAAATAAGTGTGCGTGATATAAATAGTAGTCATAAGACCAATTTTACTTGTCACCTCGCCTCTTCTCTCGCTTGTGGTAAGTTATACTGAATAAAGGTCCCCTTTTTGCCAGAGAAACTAGGAAAAGCTGGAGAGCAGACTTCAAACCTTTTCTTTTTTTTTGACAACAGTAATTCCTCTCAAAAGTTACAAAGTATGTGAACCAAATGCAAGCATCATTTGAGGATCAAAGTGAGTAATTTTAGCAGAAAAAAGTGAGTAATCCTGGCCAAATGTTTTCTTTTCTGGAAAAACTTCACAATTACGGAAGATAATTAAAGCAACTGAAAGTTTTCAACTAATTCCAGCTTGACAACTGACTTTATTAATAGCGAAGTAACTCTTACAATAAATTATCCAAAAAACTTCGCAATTACTATAATCTTTCACTTTCTGCTTAAAAAATTTCAAAAGATATGTCTAATTTATGGTTAATACAAAATTATCACATAGAGATCACGTCTATCTCAGCTAGACTACTCAACGAGCAGTTTTCTTTTTTTTCCATTCTTAGTAATACAAATTCCACTGAATCATAACATATCTGAGCCGAAACACGTGATCATTATTCAATTAAGTATTTCTTTTTTTTATTCCCTACGACAATAATTGAAAAACACCCCCCGTGACGAGTGAGGGACCGGCCATTCGTTACCAGCTGGGGCTGGTAAGGAAATAAATAAATATGCTAAGGAGCATTATCAGCCTTAGCATATTTATGATACCCCACCCCCCGCCAACTTTTTTATATTCCCTCATTACACCGTCCCCTGATCCGCCCTCAGGTCCTTCCCACCCCCCCCCCCCCAAAAAAAAAAAAAACTCCTGCCGGCGATAAATGATTTCCTAAATCAATATCATATTCGTAGCTAATAACAAGAACAATTTAAAGCCTGTCGACTGACAATATAACCAGAATTAATTAAGTCGGAAGCATACGACCAAAGACCTCCAAACGTGTTCAATTCCATCTTAATTTCTGCTAAGACTAAGACTTGTTTAGATTTAATTTAAATGATTTTTGTATTTTTCTCTTTTTTCATCTTTTTTTTTTAATTTCTTTAATTAAAATTACTTATAACTGTACGCCCAAAAGCAATAAAATACACATACTATGTTTACAATTCCTCCTGCTGTAATCTAAAATAAACAATTCTTAAATTTCTCATTTCCTTTCATAACCACTAAATGAGTAACGTCAGAAATGGTCTCTTCAGTGGAAAAGATAGAATCCCAGTTTTTCATAGAAAAACTTACACTGAACTGAATTTTTTTTTCTTTCAACAACGTACATGCTTCGAGTCCTATAGGGCCTTCTCTGGACATGAAACATGTTTCCACTCAGTATAACAAGTTTGTATAATTTCCATAGAATGCAACATCCTGCCTTTTGACCCTCAGCTTTGTACTTAAGACCATTATTAATGGTAAAGAATTCACCAGAACCCTTAAAGAATATAAAAAAGACTATTTTCATTGCTCATCCTTATGCTTCTGAGGAGACTCCGGAAGAATACTATCATCGACCTCCGAACGTAACACTAAAGTTCCAGCACTACTAAGGCTAAGACATGCTGCCCAAGCAGCATTTTTTTACTATTGATTTTCCGATTTTTTTCTTTTCTTTTTTTTAATTTGCCACTATCACTATGTTCATTTAGTTATGTCAATTCGTTTTCTGTAAAAGGCCTTATAAATTTTGATGTTCATATTAATTGCGCGGTGTTTTGGTTATAACTGTATAATAAGAAATTTGCAACAGAATCTAATGCTAAATTTTGTAAAACCTGATTGTTTTAAATGAAATAGCTTAGCTTTAATAATGTTGACAATCTCAAAGCCTGAATCCTTTGAGCCTACTTTCCATAAATGCACATTTATTCTATTCTTACTAAGGTTCATGTTATTATTCTACACGTTACAATTACGTAAACCTTTTTAATGTTTAATGCCCCCGCGTATGCCAGTTTTTATTCATACTTTTCTACTGCGGCCTTGGACTTAAAATTTTGCCCCAAAAGGTGGCAGCGTCTTCTTGCTCTTAGCTTGTCTCTTGAGATATCTTTAGTAATAGAGCAAAATGAGCAACAAATCATCATACTTATACTATGTTAGTAATTCCTCCTAATATATCGCAAAAACGATGAATTTTTATAGCTCGTTTCCTCTAGGGAAGCTTGAAGACCTTGCATGCTTAACCATCAGATTAGAAACGTAACAGAAATAGCCCATTTGGTAAAGATGGTAGATGCTCCGTTTTGCATAACTGAGTCCCTCTTTTTTTCCTTTAACTACATAAGGAAATCAAGTCCTAGAGAGACTCTTCTAGACATCAAACATGTTTTTCGTTGGGCATAACAAGTGTACCTGGTGTCAATAGAATAATACATTGCAACATGTGACCTTCAACTTTTTACTCAAGACTTCCTTTGGAGTCAAGAATCCTCCGGAGCCTTTTGGGAATAGGAAACAAGATTGCACATATTTTCACTGCTCTTCACTGCAGGTATTTCACTGCTCTTCCTCCAGCTTCTAAAAAGACTCCATGTTTTATTTCGTTTGATCTGGAACAGAAAGATGACAATTATAACCCATGACAGGACTAGTTGATCATGAGTCTCACCAGTACTCTAATTTTTTTAACTAGGTCAGTCAAAAAAGACTTATCAGGTGTTTCGTTGAAATTGTAACTACGTCACAGTCAATTAATGAACTTAATTACTTTCCTAATTGTGATACGCTTCAAGCAAGACAACCATTTGGTAACTATTCTGTTTTGTTATATTTATATTTTACTGTAATTATTTTTCTGATACGCTTACTATGTGTAACTTATAGATTTCGAACAACGCTAACGAAGAATAAACAGCAGTTTGAAACTCATGGTTTTGGATGCGTATCACAACAAAACATCAGGAGCCATATGCCGTATGGCTTATGCAGGAGGCTGATGTTTCACCCTTTAACCCTGAGAGTGACTAGCATCTAAGTTCTCCCAACAGTATGACCCCTGCATCACACAGCAAGGTCATGACAATAAAGGAAATGATCACCAACTAAATATTCTCTAGATTGATTGACAAATTCTCCTTGTCAGCACCGTAGGAATTGTATAGAAAACAGTATGGAGAATGGGCATGCTGATGTTGAGGTGTAAAGGGATAAGCGCTGCTGGGCTTAACCTGACTAGGAAAAGTGTAAGGCGACCATTGGAGGCGTCCCTTAAAAAAAATATTTGAATCATCAGAACACAAGGAAAAAGAACTCTCTACGGTAACGGTTTGTTTGTTAAAAGTTAGTATTGTGAGATTAAAAGCTTGACCAAACCTTGGTGGATTTCCTCGGCGACACCCCGTCTGTATTTGCTGATGGTATCTGAGAGAAAAAAAATTCAAAATCATCTAAAAACGTTTACCTCAAGGTAATTCATTGAAAACTTGAATCTTAAGGGTTCTTTTTCTTTAAACCTGTCCGGCCCTCCCATCAAACCCGTTTCACAACAGTTTATTTCACATCCTACAATTTCCTTCAAAAGAAAAGCGGCCATCAAAATGTAAAAATCAGTTCTAGAGAAGAACACAATGTGCATAGATATAAACCTTTGCTAAAAAACATTTAGAACTTTCATATTCTCTTAAAATTTACCTGCACTGGAATAGATGGCGCTGACTTTCGCCTCTCTGATGTTGAATATTGAGATACCCTCTGTTCTTCCTCAGCCTGCAATGAAAACAAAAATAAGAGTAATTTAGTTCTAATAAGTGGTGGAATAATACCCGAGAGTAAGAAAAGATCTCTTCAATACTCTTAATCCTCGCACCTACATCTCACTCCTGACCGTCTGTACCAGTTTTTCTTCTTTTTGTAGGTTTATTGCAATGGTTCGAAAATACTTCAAATTTCACCGTTGGATATCCGGCCATGAAATTTTCCCGCTTTTTCCATAACTCAAGCCAGCAGTTTTGGGTTTTTATCACACTAAATTTGACATGGCATTACAAAAAAAATACAAAAACAACATCACGCATGCAGGTAAATTTACATACAGTGGAGAATAGCTGCGTCCGCGTTGTTTCCAACTGTTCAACCTGTTTTTCTCTTCCTCTTTGGTCTGCCGACAGAATTTGAAGCTTCTCATTTTCTTCCTTTGTGAAGTTCGTGTCCACTAACTTCAGGTCGGCAACGTGAGCGTTAAGATCGCTATGTGCAGCTTTTAAGTTGTAAAAGTTAAAATCATAGAACTGTTTCCTGACGAACTCTTTAAATGCAGAAGCTTGGTCCGTCATTCTTGTTACTTTAGTGTACACTTCCTCCAATGTTCTGTTGTGTTTGCCGATGAACTCCGACTTTCTTTTCATTGTGAAGGTTTCTCCTTTTAATTCAGGCACTTCTAAACTGGATTTTATGTCTGCAAGTGTTTTTTGAAGTTTTTCTATGTTCTCGGAAATTTGGTTAACTGTACAGGTAAGATCCTCAACTACGACTTGTTCTGTTTGCTTGTGTGTATTTCTTGCAAACTGGTCGGTAGTATTTATATGGTCTTTGATTTCCTGAAAGGAAAGTTCATATGCATTCACATCATATATGTATTTAAAATCTCTACGGGTAATTCGCATCAGGAAAATATTGCTTTAAATGTAAACTTTATAAGAATGAAATACACGTAACTCTCTTAAAAAAATTGCCGGGAGATTACACAAATAAATAGAAGACTTGGAAAAGTACAAGGCGTCCGTTGGAGGCATCAATAAAAAACCTTTTTGAATCATGAGAACACGGGGGAAAAATTCTCTATACGGTAACGGTTTGTTTGTAAAAAGTGAGTATTGTGAGATTAAAAGCTTGACCAAACCCTGGTAGATTTCCTTGGCAACACCCCGTCTGTATCTTCTGATGGTACCCAAAAGACAAAATTTCGTAATCATTTAAAGACGTTTACCTCAAGGCAATTCATCGAAAACTTAAATTTAAAAGGGTCTTTTTCTATAAACCTGTCCTGTTGTCGTGGTTCCCTTAAGCCCTCCCATCAATCCCTTTCTCAATAGTTTACTTCACACCCTGATAAACTCACAATTTCCTTCGAAAGAAAAGGCGCCATTAAGGTATAAAAATAAGTCCTAGAGAAGAACACAATGTGCATAGATATAAACCTTTGCTAAAAAACATTTAGAACTTTCATATTCGTCTAAATTTACCTGCACTGGAATAGATGGCTCTGACTTTCGTCTCTCTGGTGTTGAGTATTGAGATATCCTCTGTTCTTCCTCAGCCTGTAATCAAAACAAAAATAAGAGCAGTTTAGCTCTATTAATGGTGGATTATTACCCAAGTGTAAGTAAAACTTTCCTCCATGCTCTTTATTCTCGCATCCACATCTCACTAGTGACTGTTTGTATCAGTTTTTCCTCTTTTAGTAGGGTCATTGGAGTGGTCTGAAGTTACTTCACATTTCACAGCGTTGGATAGCTGACAAAGACGTTTTGCGCTTCTCTCATAACACAAGCCAGCAAGATTCTACATGTGCGCTTGAAATAACTTGGATATTTCTGACCGTAACCACACCAAAAAGATTTAACATGGTATGGAGAAAGAATGGTTTTTAGCCAAAAGCATACAAAAAGACTTACAAAAACAACATCAAGCATGCAGGTAATTTTACATACGCAGAAGAATAGCTGCGCCCGCGTTGCTTCCAACTGCTCAACCTGTTTTTCTCTTCCTCTTTGGTCTGCCAGCAGAATTTGAAGCTTCTCATTTTCTTCCTTTGTGAGGTTTGTGTCTGCTGACTTCAGGTCGGCGACACGAGCGTTCAGATCATCATGTACGGCTTTTAAGTTGCAAAAGGTAAAATCATAGAACTGTCTCCTAACGAACTTGTCACATGCACAAGCTCGGCCTGTCATTCTTGTTACTTTAGAGTACACTTCCTCCAATGTTCTGCTCTGTTTGCCGATGAACTCCAATTTTCCTTGCATTGTGAAGGTTTCACCTTTTAATTCAGGCATGTCCAAACTGGATTTTATGTCTGAAAGCGTTTTTTGAAGATTTTCTATGTCTTCGGAAATTTGGTTAACTTTGCAGGTAAGATCTTCAACCACGACTTGTTCTGTTTGCTTGGGTGTATTTCCTACAACCTGGTCGATGATATATATATAGTCTTTGATTTCCTGAAAGGACAATTAAAAGTCGTATGCATTTACATCATACATGCATTCAAAATCTCTATGGGGAATTCAAATCAAGAAAAATATTTCTTAAAACGTCAACTTTGTGCCAAGCAAACTCGCGTAACTCTCTCAAAAGATTGCCGGGCCATTACAAAATCAATGGAAGATAACTTACAAAGTCAAGTTTAGCGGAAATGGCATTTTAAATTCTTGTTATCATTATCCACCTCTTGCAGAAAATAATAAACTGGAAATAAATTAAAGAGAACGTTTAATTCTGATCTAAAATAATTATGGTGCAGTTTTGCCTCAACTTACTTTAAATTGTTTCAGAAAGTATTACCATAGTGAAATAGGCAGTTGCTAATTTTGCTTGCCATAAATGTTTTTGTTTCCATGAGCTTACGTCAACCTCTAAATTAATAGTTACCTTCAAAGATGTATGAAATTCTTTTGTTTTGGTCTCCCACACAAAGAACGTTGACCTCCCAGTACTGTCGTTGCCAAATATGATCTAATCCAGGGAAGGAAAAAGTGCACAGTTAATAAACCAAACCATGGCTTTTTGGAACATTTCAGAACAGAGAAAGATACTTTTCGTCTTGTCACGAGCGTGGGACAAAGAAAAAAATTCTGATTCTCCATGAGGAATCGAACTTCAGACCTTTGGATTCCGCGCTGTGATGCTCTACCACTAAGCCACAGAAACTCTGTGGTGAGGGTGGCCCATTACGAAGTTTACATATGACAGAACAGTTCAGCAACCAATGTTAATTGCTACAGAATAACGAACTAACCTGGTTTGTATTGTCTACCTCTATAGTCCCTCTAACTTCAATAGAGATGGTTTTTTTACCATTGATTGGACCTTAAACAAACCATTTTTAAATGTGTATTATGGTTTTTGTACATGTTAAGCAATAAAGAGTATTGGGAAGAAAAACGATCGAAAAACCCTCTCTGGTGTTCGGAAGTGAGTACTATGGTTTTAACTTAAGAAGTCCCATCTTTTCCGCGCATTTCGCTGCACACTTGTTTAAAAACATCACCAGAGAGGACGGAAGCTATTTGTACCATTTCAGAGGTCGAGTGTAAATATAATACTTCCTACAGTCTGCCCTCGTTTCATGCAAATGTATGCACTGGAAAAGAGCTGGATTTCTTAGTTTAAATTCAAAGAAATTCTCTCCTGAAAAACACGCACAGTCACGTCGGGGATTCTAAAGAGTTTTTCCAGGAAGTCTTTAAATATTTGACCTGGCTTCAAATTTCTAGTAATATCCTGTGCAGTAAATATCATTAGGGAAACATAATTATGCCAGCTACTTTGTCAACTACGCTATGCCATTTTGACGAAAATAGATAAATAGATGGAACCAAGACGAAATTTGGTTCTTCTTCTCCTGAACATACTGAACAATAAGCAAATGATCGAAACTATTTTACTCACTCAGTAATACGTCAGCCACGCTCTTAAGTTCTATCTTAGTCAGGGCATCTACAAGCTTTCCAACAGTAGCATCCTGTCCCCCTCGATGGATCCATTTTACGAGGACAGCGATACAACATTCCTTGGGGCAATTGTTTTTTTCACTGATAATGTCAATTTCATTTTGGCTGAAGTCTAGCATTCGTGCCAAGTCTCTCCACTTTTCCGGTCCAATCAACTTGGGCAGCTGGTGCTCATGAATAATACTCTCAGTCATCCCAACATTCGGGTCGAGCGTGTTATTGTTCATGGAGAAATCTGATGGTATTACAATTAGCTTATGTTAGAGCCTTAAACATGGTATAATAAAAATAGCCTGAATACTAATAGTGCGCAATTTTATCACGTTAATACGATCAAATGAGCGAGACATGAAATATTGCAACATCTCAATCTATCAAATATGTTACCTTGGGCGGGAGTTTCTCGTGGACAAGAAGAAAAGATACCACTGAAAGGTGTAGTTAGAATTTCGGTTTGGGTAACGCATGACAACTTACTTAAAATTCAATATTTATGTTATCGTTTCGGCCTGTCACGCAACACAAGAGGAGGCTTGTCACGTAATAGGAGTACAGAACGGCCCCTGAGGGAGCCCATCTGGTATGAAATTTACTTTTTGTTTTCACTTTAGCCTTTCCTGCTTTCAGTGGTTATTGGTTTTCGCGTGAAGTTTGAGAACTGTAAGAATCAATTATCCCTAACAGCTTTCTCCTAACTAATGATGTCAATTCAAATGACGTATTTGGGTTTTAAGAAATATGACCAAATATAGAACTTTCAAAACGTTTTGAACAGTGCCCACAAGAAAAGAATTGAAGGAGGCAAATATCGACTTGATCTATGTTGAGCATTATCACGTTCTTGTCACTCTTGAAAACGTCGATTCTTGAGTCATAAATGGTCTGGAGCATTGATGAACCGCACGTGATATGGTAATCAATGCGATTCCGCCCTGAAAGGGACTTTCCCGTTTCATAAACAGTTCCTGTTTCAACGAGTCAAATCGAAACTACCCGAAGAAAACCATGATCCAAATGACCATCCTTCGCTAGTCTAACTAACCATAACTAGATTCGAGGACGAGATAATTTCAGAGTCAAAGCCGTCTATGACAGATATTTACCATTCTATAAAACGGCTCTTGCTTTCTTCAACTGACCCTTAGATAGCTTGAAACGTTAACTTCCGAAGCCGCCATGTTTTCATACGTTTTCATGACTTAAGAGGCTTCAAAGGCGAACTACTTATCGAACTACCACGATATAAATTACGGTTTTTAGATCATCTTTAAGTTACTAAATGAGAGTTGGATGTCCTTAAAGTCTTCATCTTCAGGACATCGCAGTTAGGTAAATAAATTTGTCTTGATCAAAACAGGCAAATATATGATATTTACCAAACTAACTCTCATGACAAGGACGCCTATGGTATTATTTCTTTGGTTGAAAATCATAAATTCACTATAATTTCGAGCAATATTGCTAAAAGAGTTGTCTTAATGTTCATAAGTACTTAAAGAAACAACACACTGCAATGAATAGAATTATAGATACCTTGCATATAGTCTTCACACAAGCTAATCAATTTAAAGATAAAAAAATATCTCCTCTGCATGTTATCAAAATGTGGCATATAGAACAGGGCGAGACGAATTCGCACCGGTGCTAAGGCGATATGTAGCAGCGTTTTCGTAGCATCGCCAAGCATAGAGACAAACATAAATATGTGGTGTCCAAACAGTAACCCTTTCTAGGAAATTTATTTACGCGGAAATAACAGTTTATTCATAACTTTGAGCTCGCAAATGCGTAATGGCTGAAGTTAAAACTACTGACCCATTTCTGAAGACGAATTTCGTGGATCACACTGATTTTTTCCACTCGTACTCAGGTTATAGCAGTGTCTTTATGAACTCAAGTGTTGGCAACGTCGGACAGATAAATACTTGGCGACGAGGTTCTTTATGGTATCGAAGGCTAACATGAAAGTTTTGAGGTAGGCCCCGTGGCTATGGTCCATAGTTTCAATAACCATCTGTTAAACTGTGTGCAAAGAATATAGGAACGGTTATTAATATTTAGAAAATCCAGTCGTAAAGAAAGTTAACCTTTTCTTCGATTTTGCTTCCTTTGAGCTTGCTATGTTGTTCAGTTGTCGCTCGTCGGTGAAGTCAAATGACTAAATGCTGGGTACAAACCTTAGTTGCAAATTCTGAAAATGTCTCCTTGTCAGGCAAATAGCAGCTAAATTCTGCTCTTAGGAAGAAGGCAAGACTAAATATTCCAACTGGCTAGGGGCGCCCCCGTTTCAACTCGTTTCGTTTTCAGTTTACTTATTTCCGTGTTAAAGACCGCTGTCCTGTAAATAATTTGTCGGTTGGCGTAACACCGACTCCGAATGCAGCCTTGCATGAAATGCACGTGGCCACCATGCTGTCAGTGCGTTTTTTACATGCGTCTTCATTTAAAGTTTCATTCGGTTTTAATTAATTCCTTCAAATGTAATCACATGGGAAACACGTGATAGAGTGAACACTAGAGTCATGAAGTCAGAACGTGAATAGACAGCGTCTGAAAAAAGATTTTCCGATTATGCGACTGAGCTTAAAATTTCCATGGCGAATTTTTGGTAAATATAGATAAATATCAAAAAGGAAATCCACTGGTCGTCACCGATTAAAGTCGAATAGAAGTGAACGTAACAAAGCGAGATGTAATTGTCAACCCAGGCCAGTGAACGCTATTTTCCTATGACTACTACAACTGCATTATTCAGCAAATTTCAACGTTGTCTATACGTGGCGATATTATCTAGTATGCAATTTGTACCCTGTGAAAAAGTTGTTTCGGCGCATCTGCGCACAATCCAGGGTATTACACAAGTTGCGTCTGAGGCCCGTGCGCTGATTTTCCCTCACCAGTGTCGAGTTTCTACTCTCGAAAAACTCACGTCGAGTTGGATAAAAACCGACCTTTGTCCAGTCATTTTATTTGTATTTTCATTAATAATCATATGCCGTTGAATTTCTTCGTCGTATTATATGAAATTAGAAATTATCTCGTTATTGCTCAATTCGCGTCTCTAGATTTTTTAATAGTCTGTGCTATGCTCTCCGTCCAGGTGAAAAATGGTTGCAGTTTCTTCTAAAAATCGTTTTCCCCTAATATTTCGCTCGTCTCCACTAACCGAGACCAGCCTAACGTATGAAAAATTATATATTTTAATATAATTTATACCGGTACCGTTTAATAAGACTAAGTGGAAAAAGGCTAAAGTTTCGCCAACGTAATTGTAATAAGCACAGCATAAAGTAATAGCATAATTGTAATAACATGTACAACAAAATCACTCAGTTCAATTCGCTAAAAAAAGTCCAGTTCTCATGTAACAAGGGTGCAAATTTGTAACACGAATGCGGTTGGCAGGCAAGAAAAGACCATGAGCACGATCAAAAACTGCCAAGATTCTTTCGTCAACAGGCGCTCAAAACGTGTAACTGAAGCTTTAAACAACAATTAAATTTGTTTTTACTTTAAAAGATTACTATACACCAAGTTTAATTCGATGTATTTGTCTTTCTGTGTCTTTAACAATTATTCACCATCCTGAAGTGAATAACTGTTTTGGTATATACCCCACAGATACCAAAAAATTACTTTATTTCTTCAGCTCCATATACCGAAGAATGGTCAGAAATTAAACTCTTGACGCGCGATTTTGTCTTATCGGCTGCTCGGAGGTGAATAGTACTTGCTATTCACTTCCAAGCTTTATTGCGCCCATTTTGAAATCATTGGTGATCCCTGTAATCTGATTGGATCTGATTGGTGCGATCTATTTACGAATCGCACCATTTTGCTTTAAATCGCATCTCTTTCCCAGCCATTGAAGAGGCTACACCAAAAACAAACAAACCAATAAGATTTCAAGGCTTGTTTAAAGCAACCAATCAAATTGCAGGAAAATGAAAGACAAAGAGTATCATGTGGCAAATTTTGCAACTTTTGTTTCCAAAACTCTTATTTTTTTCCCCCCAAAAAATGGATGAATTTAATTTCAAACCGGCTCAGTACTGCATCAACAAAATATTTGATCTGACCAAGTCCTGTATTTAGGCGATTTCAAAATGGATGTAATAAAGTGGTAATTGAACCTCGCGTCGTGCAATTTTGGTCTGAAATTATACTTGTGATTTCAAATCGAACTCGCGCTGCGCGCTCGTTCGATTTTGAAGTCACAGGTATAATTTCAGCCTAATAATATACATGAAAAAATTACTCAGTTCTGATTGGTTAAGATAAATGCAGCTTTCAGGTAATTCAGCGCAAAGGAGGGTTAATTCTGATTGGTCAATAATCAAAGAAATTCTCAGATAGCCAATCAAGTGTGAGCCTTGGATATCGCAACATTTGGATACGCTGAAAATTTGCGAGCAAAACAATGGCCGCCGTTTGAAGAAGGTTTTCTTTCGCCACCTCAAAAACTGTACAGCAGCTGAAAAACAGCTCTAACGACGAAAACACTGTAAAAAGCACTGCTTTTTGGTTGTCGGTTTGGAAAAAGTGGTGTTTAGAGAAGGGAGTTGCCAAGGAAATCGAAAATTACGAGTCGACCCAACTTAACACTTAACTCAAGCGATTCTACGCCGAAATTAAAAACCAACAAGGTTAAACCTCGCAAACGACAATTCCATTCCATCGAAAGTGATTTGGACACATATTGAACTATTCCTTGAACTGTTAGGCCGGACTTTGAACTCTTTGCGCCTTAAAGATGTGAAAATATCATTGTATACTATTCTTTTGATCGTACGCGGTTGTTTTGACCGAACACACAAAGTCACTTGCAGGGTTTTAATAAATTATTTTTACACTTGATGCACGCGCTTTACTTCTGCGTAATTACGATAAGCTACCTCGTATTTTTTCATGTATATTATTAATACGTAATCACATGATTTTCTCATGCAATTCGGAATAAATAAGCACTGAACTGAGTGGTAAGCGCGCGCGCGAAAAGCACTATTTACTTGTGTGCACATACCGAGTTATTTTTGAGCCAAAGTTTTTAGTCCTGTCTCTGTCAATGCGTTTGCCAATTAATTGATTAATTTAAAATTCAAAGAAGGAATTGAAAACGCAAATGTAATATGAATCCCATTTCTCCAAAGTCGGTGCGTGATAGAGGAAAAAGATTCCCCCTGCATTCCGTAAAACTTAGCCGCAATTAATTAGATTCATCCTCTACCTAAAATTTGCGACCTTAGTTATCTCAGAGTACCAACATGCATATAGACAGGAACTCACCTTCTTCTATTTCGTTTTCGTTAATATCCATAAGATCAGAATCTTCATCCTCGGTGTCAGATTTTTCTGTATCTCCAAAATAACCCTCCTCAACTAATTGGGCTTTCGCCACCTGTGTTGCCACTAAGAAATGACATGGTCGGCAAAAAAAATATTCATGTTAAACAAAGAATCAGTGCATCATGGTACAATTCAGTCACGAATAAGATTTCGTATCACAGAACTAAAGTTTACAGTTCTCCAGTTATATTGTAATATTTTTAGCTCCCAGTAATAACAAAAGTTGAAATAATCCACACATATATATTTACTATTACATCATTCTCGTAAATTCACGATAATGAAAATATTGACCCTTTACTTCAAAATGTAAACTTGGAGAAGGAACTTTTAATGGCGATTGACTTTATGTGAACATCTGTCAGATAAACGAAGGCTGGTGGGTAATATGTTTGTGAATTTTCACCATTATCTTAATAATTCGTTGATTAGTCATTAATTCAAGTCCAAGGGAAGAGAAAGTATAATTTCCGTGGCGAAACATATTCCCTTCTGCCATTCCAAGAATTCGCTTAACAGCAGTAACCAGTACACGAAGGCTATCACCCTCGCAATTTAATTCCCATCTTCCCTACAAACTGTCACATAAACTCCCCATGAATTTGTTCAAGGCCTCCGGTTCCTACTTTTCAACACTTTTGTCATAGCCGTCTTTGGAAGCCCAAGACTTCCCGACCGCCAGGCAGTTGCTTGTACTTTCTTGAGTGTTTTTTTTTTCTTTTTTTTTAGGAATAAAAACGTTTACTTTATCCTAACCTGTTTGTCATTTTGTCTTTTTGCGCTTTCGCGACTCTCCTTCCAATCAATTTAATTTCATCTTTCTGCACTCAATTTCAACTTTCTGAACTGTTTGAGAAAAAATTTTGCAATCATATTATTACCATTTTTTCATTATCATTATCTTTTTTCGAAGATGGCTGATAAGGAAACCGATACGCTGTTTGCTAGCAATCTCATATACCTCCATTATCTTCTGAGATGGCTGGAGCGTCCACGCCAGCCTCGAGGGCGGCCGCGAAAGGCGCGCGAGTAATAGTAATAGTTAAGCTGAAGAAACGAACCTAAATATTTATGGAATTGATGCATACTGCTTGGAACAGATCGAACTACGTAACAGTTGATTTTTGTCCCAAGTCACTTACTTTTAATGGATGAAATTGATGAAGAATGAATCGGGTAAAGGTTCAAAATGAATCGGGTAAGGTTTGTTTAAACTTGTTTATTAGCACAGCGGTTGCTGTTGGTGTGATGACGTGCGTGACTCTCATCAAATCATGGGGGACTCGTGGTAGTTCGTGGGTGACATTTAAAATAACGTGAACCTGACAAGTTTCCAATAACTAGCCGCTTATTTGTTTAAAGCTTTACACTGCAACATGCCTTGACTTGTGTTGCAAATTGTCTGGGTTCTCAGTGGCTGAGGTCGATAAATAAATTAACTTAACAATCCTTAAGTATACTAAATAGTTTTGACTGTATAATAATCGTGTAGATCACAGGCAGACAACCCTGTGGGTTTGAGGCCGCGTAACGTCAGTTATTTGATACGCTAGTTGAACTCTTACATTGTTTGTAATTTGCAACGGTCGATCTCGGCAAGACGCAAGTGATCCCAAGAAATTTCCATAAATATCGCAAATCGTGACATTTCATCCCCAAAATCCGCTTAATGACAATCAGATAATTGAAATTTCACTTACCTTTGTTTTTCTGTGTTGTCTCGAGTGATTTTGCGGGGTTTCAGGACGGTTAATTCCCCTTTAAAGGCAAAGGAAAGTAAGGAAGAACACAAGGCGTGCAACTTCCAGGACCGTCTGGGCCGAAAGCCTCCAGAACTTCGCCGAATTTCCCGTTCCAAATGTCGCGCACCTCCCAGCTTCGGGTACGTTAAAAGTCGATAAACGTGTAATATTCAAGCCAAATAGTCAGTGCAATTGCCTGCCTCTAACCACCTCAAAAGCCTGCTCGATTTCCGACATTCGTTCATCATCCGCCGTCAACACATGATGTGGACCGAAGTGGTCGATCATAAGCCTTCGATTAACCGTATTTACAATTTAAACTAATCACAAACCAAGCTCAGATTTCACTCCCCACCCTCCCAGGCCAGCGCAAGGGTGTCGGTTGGAATACGGTACAAACTAGCCCTCCCCCAAGACTTTTTTACCACTTCCGTTCCGCAACCGGAAAAAATAATAGCCAATCGAAACGAAGCTGTCAGTAGTGTCAGTGGTTAGATCACGAATGTTTGTACGAGCGTGCTTAACCTAACGAGAGGCTAAGAGCTTAATGGCTTATTCTTTCCACATATTTCTGTAGAGTATAAGACAAATAGTCAAATCGAAACTTCTATATTACTTTCATTTCCGAGATAAAATTCTTCCGACTTAACACAAATCTAGGTAAGTCAAGCAAAGGTGAAATATAAAGCAAATAATTCTGTACAACCCTAAGCGGAAACAACATCTCTGCTGCCAGACGTGGTTTTCATTACGAACGTAATCGTTTTAATCAGCTTTATCATTTCTCTAAAGGATTTTGATTATTTATATATCCACTTTATAAAGTAACTTGCCTGAAATTTCAGACAGGAGGTTACACTTGGATAATTACAGAGCTTCCCCGTATAGCAAAAGGGTTTTTTCCCTATTTCTATATACTGATATTTCTCTTTAAATGATATTGACCATGAATAGAAAATTGACCAAAGCTTGGAAAGATTCCAAGTGCACATTTAGCGGAGAAATGCCTTCCTCTAGATGAATACTGAGGTGCCTAGTAATCTGCTTTTCTCCGGATAGCTTCCTTCATTGGACTTTCCGGCTCTTTCGTGAACGCCCCCCGTAGACAAGCAAAGCTCTTGGGATTCGTGAAATCTTGGAGTCCCCCAACTTTAAAGGGGGATACCCCTTCTTAACTAAAGGATTCTTATAACTCCGTCAATTAGCTTGTTAAGATTACCCGTTTTTGCCATAAAAATAGAGACAAATGGTGGTGCGGGGTATTATAATTTCGTTCCGAAAAGCGATGGAAGAAGCACGACTTTAATGGAGAACTCGAGTCACAAAAAGTACTTAAAACACTCCATACATGATGCTGGTGCGAGCCCATGAAACATAACGAACATGGATAGCTCCTTCATGATCAGGGCAGGGTTGTTCAAAACTAGGTTAAGATAACCCACGGTTAATATGAAACTTGTTTTAAGATCTGAAAGCTTGAAAAGAAAACTCAGCTTAACTCTTTTTGTCTTCAATTTGATGATTAAATGCCCCAAAAAGAAAAGGGTAAAATTATCCTAAAACGGCTTTTGAGTAGAGAAACATAGAAACCTATAATAAAATTTAACCCTGGGTTAGCGCTAATCGGCCTTCAAACAACAGAGCCCAGGTGATAAAGGGTGATTGTATGACACATAACACCACATGGAGGATACCCTCTTTATTGATGAGATTTGAGAAAAGTACAAATAGGCTTCCATTGAAGAACCGACTAAAGCTACTGATGGTGTAAAATGCCAAAGAAAAGCTGCTGTTCTTTTCTCTCACCGAAGCCTTTATTTCTCATCGCCTTAAAGGCCGATACACTAATTCGCCGCGAATTATAGTTACCATCGGGCTGCAATTCAGGAGCTTCGTTTCCATAAATGTATTTTCTGTCTTTAATTACCTTGGGCATGCTGCGAATGAGAAAACTTTAGAAATCATAGACGTCACAGACGTGCTTTGATAACTGGTGAAGATTGTGCTTCCTCCTCCTCATGCTTGTGTATCGCTATCACCATGGGTTTTAGCCAAGATTGACCAATCAAACTGTAATCCTGTGTGACAAGTTAATAGGGTGTGTCTTATGATTTATATATAATTGTCATGCACATTCGAATAAGAAAATCGTATCGAAATTGAATCAACTCCAGCGATATCGCAGCGTCCATTTGTTCTCAAATCGCGCTGAAATCCCAGCTTATTAAAACGATAAGTAAATGCTGTCCCAAAGCTCCAGAGAACAAATTACTGCCAATCACTTTCTTTGGATCACAGTGCTTCGCATTCTACTTCCTATAAAATGCCAAATGCTTGCAATGTCTTTCAGTGCATGCGACATGTAAACAGAGACGCCTTTTTTGAGGATGGCAGATTCATAATAGCACTGGCTTCAATAGCTCTCGTGCATGGATACACAGACTTGTGCACGTCAGCTTATGAAAACCTGACACTTATCCATGAGGGGGGGAGGATACGGCTACGTGCAAGCTAATCTTACATCACAAATTATACACATTGTTTCCTCAAGTGAAATCTGTCTTCACAAGTGTTATTGTTTTCTCTATAAGGCTAGAAATTATTCCGCATTCTTCATCCCATCTTTTTAATTGATTTTCATGTAATTTTCTCAACACTATTTCATAAGCCAAATAGTGAATACACAGAGCTGGATGAAGATAGCCGTAAGTAGGTAATTTTACCTGAATTACCAAACTAGGGTGTGGCGACACAATTAAAACTTTGGAACAGTTTCCAATGTATATTATAACATAGCTAGCAGAGCCGCGCAATCAAATTCAGTATACGTAAGCGTGCTCAAAATCCCGATAGTGCACGCTGATAACGTGAGCAAATCGCTTCGCCAGAAATTTTTTTTTCGCGCGAGCGGCCATTGTTAGCGCGGGGACAAGTAATATAATTCGCGACAATAATGGATACAAACAATTTTCCGACCTTTTCCCTTGGGCTAGAGTTCTTAAATAAGTTCTTAAATGAGGCGATTCGCTTCACTGTCCGAGGGTGATATGCAACAAATTCCACCGGCTATGTTATGAAACAATTGGTTCATGCTTTTAGCTGTGCACTATCGAGTTATGGAGCACGTGGGAAGTTTGGAAAGCACTCAAGAAGCTAGAGTTGCCCTCGGCTATTGCCTCAGGCAACTCTTACACTTCTTTCGTGCTTTCTTAACTTCCCACGTGCTCCATAACTCGAGAGTGCACGCTAAAGTATGAACCAATTGTTAAGTATAATGTGAAAGTTATACTTGGATCAACTTGGAACAACAAACTCTACTTGTGAAAGGATACATGTACTTAAAAACTGAAATTGTTAGATGGTGACAAAAGTTCCCTGTTTGTTTTTTTCAGATCAAGCACCATTTGATCCAAATGCTAAAGCAGACAGATTTTATATAACTGTTGAGGTAAGATAAGGATTTGAAGGGACCTTTTGGTCTTATCTCTTCTTATTAAATTCCATTTTAAACGTCTTTGTTTTATTTTGTTTTATTTTGTTTAATTTGCTTTTCTTATGTACAATTTTTAAGTTAGTTTCTTTATACAATACTTGGAAATACAGTAATACCATTGTTGACTGACTAATGAGGATTACTTACAAAACTAATTTAGCTTACACTGCCACAGTAACTTTGATACCTATCGTGCATTACTAATGCGTGTGTAAGAAAAAAAAATTGATTGAAAATCTTCGTTTCAATCAATATTTTTGGCGTCTTCGATTTTCTTGGGTAAGCTGCAAGTGAGATGATTTAAGAAATCATAGACGTGCCTTAATAACCGATGCAGATTGTGCTTTTTCTCCTCATGCTTGTGTATCGCTATCGCCATGGTTTTTGCTATGATTGACAGAGTAAACCGTGATCTTGTGTGACAAAGGAGTGCCTTTTGATTTATCATTGTCATATTTGAATCAGAAAATCCTAGTGAAATTGAATCAAGATTTAAGCACCTGTCAATGAGCAACTCCTACAATATCGTGGCGGCAAATTACTTTTCCATCGCGCTGAAATCGCAGCTAACTTACACGGCTTAAGATTAAAAGATAAATAATTCTGTCCCAGACTTCCACCCACTTTCATAAGAACACAGGGCTTTGCATCCTACTTCCCATATGGTTGCAAATGCTTGCAACGTCTTTAAATGCATGTTGCATGGCGGGAAGTACTTAGAGACGCCTTCCTTGAGGATGGCAGATTCACTATAGTGCTAGGTTTAAGTAATGGATCTTGTCATCGTCAAATTCATATCCGCTTTGGCTACAATGTAATTTACTGAGGCATCTCGACTTTCTTCGAAACTAAGCACTACCAACAAGTTAACCCTTTAACCCCTAAGAGTGACCTGCATCTAATTTCCCCTTACAACTGATATCACCCCTGAATCAAACATTAAGGTCACGACAATCATGGAAATGATCACCAACTGTCCTTGTCAGCGCTTCAGGAAATGTATAGAGAACAGTATGGAAAATATGTACACCGATGTCAGGGTGTAAAGGGTTAACTGCTATAATGTGACTTCGTAGGTTTGCTTAGTTTTCGCTGACTTTGTGCGTTTTCTATATTTTCGTTGACTGTGTTTCTTCGTAGATTTTCTTGAACTTTGTGTCTTTTTCTAAATCTTTGTTGACTGTGTGTGTTTGCTAGATTTTCGTTAATTAGTCACCTAGTGTTATGTGAGATTTTACTATCTTCCCTAGGGCAGTCAAGAATCCCTGTTCTTTCTTACTGAAAAGGACACAAGGTGACACGTCTTTTCTTCGATTTCTCTTTTCTTGAGAAGAGTCGTCATCGTGGACTTCATGGACTGCAAGAGAAGAATCATTTACTCCATGGCAAATAATGCAGAGGCATTGTGGGATCAATTTACAGGACTGATACTCGAACAAAAGGAATGAGTGTTCTGCTTTTTCGGTTTTTTTCCGTGCTATTTCTCATTTTATAACTTAATAAATCCATTTCTTTATAAATTTTTACTGGAAAAAATTCCCAGATCATTGACGCTCATTAGGCCTCATGCAATCTCCTTCACTCAAAGCCAACCAACAGACCGAAAAGTACATTGTATATAAATCAATCAGTCACCTCAACGGCAATTTTTCAACATGCGATAAGCTTCCAAAAAGTTTGACACATTCGTGTACCCAAATAAGTATGTGGGGGTGAAAAAGTGAGACAGAAAGGATCTTTTACCCATGATGCTTCTTCGGGGACCCATGCACTATAAGAGAATTAATATACGGGACCTACCTCTTTGAAACACACTTCGTGTTTCTCATCCTCGCTCGCTGTTTTTGTTGTTTCTGGGCTGGTCTTCTGTTCACCTGGCCTGATCTGCTTGGGTTTGGCGCCAGGGTCTGTACATTGTCGTCTCAAGTCCTACGCAGCAAAATAAAAAAAGGTTACGTTAGGAATGAATAGGGTCATGTCTTCAGGGCTGCCAAACATAAAGAACTGCTTGACAACAAGGGTGGAGCCGTGAATTTTTTATTTGAGGGTCCAACATTTTATTCAGCAGACACAGTTATCTTCTTTTTTCCTTTATAACCTTTATAAGCAAAAAGTATTTAACATAAGAAAAATTGAAATATTTAAAGTTGATTAGCAATATACGATCATGTCATTGGAAGAACTTTGGTTTCAGGCAAGTGATATGAATACCCAGAGGTCAGGTGGGAGTAAGGGAGGGGGTAGGGGGAATCAGCCATGCCTACCCTGGATCCGCCACGGGATAAGTTTTCAATGCGACGAAGACCAGAAAAAAGTAAGGAACGAACAGAACGCGTGTCCTCTAATCAAACAGAGAGAGGATGGAAAGAAAAAAGAAAATAAATGTTCTCTTACGAGAGCTTTATCTAAACCTCCCTTTTTCGACGCGCAATTCATTTACTTCATTCATTAGATAAATTTTACCTTTTTAGAGTGACAAGTCTTTCCAGTCGCTCCACAAGGGTCAGAGTGTGTGTTTGCACCAGGACTTTCGGGCTGCAGTTCATAGAGACAAAAAAAAACTAATTTCTTATTAGACCTGCTTAGCAATATACGATCATGTCATTGGAAGAACTTTGGTTTCAGGCAAGTGATATGAATACCCAGAGGTCAGGTGGGAGTAAGGGAGGGGGTAGGGGGAATCAGCCATGCCTACCCTGGATCCGCCACGGGATAAGTTTTCAATGCGACGAAGACCAGAAAAAAGTAAGGAACGAACAGAACGCGTGTCCTCTAATCAAACAGAGAGAGGATGGAAAGAAAAAAGAAAATTAATGTTCTCTTACGAGAGCTTTATCTAAACCTCCCTTTTTCGACGCGCAATTCATTTACTCCATTCATTAGATAAATTTTACCTTTTTAGAGTGACAAGTCTTTCCAGTCGCTCCACAAGGGTCAGAGTGTGTGTTCGCACCAGGACTTTCGGGCTGCAGTTCATAGAGACAAAAAAAAACAAATTTCTTATTAGACCTGCTTAGCAATATACGATCATGTCATTGGAAGAACTTTGGTTTCAGGCAAGTGATATGAATACCCAGAGGTCAGGTGGGAGTAAGGGAGGGGGTAGGGGGAATCAGCCATGCCTACCCTGGATCCGCCACGGGATAAGTTTTCAATGCGACGAAGACCAGAAAAAAGTAAGGAACGAACAGAACGCGTGTCCTCTAATCAAACAGAGAGAGGATGGAAAGAAAAAAGAAAATTAATGTTCTCTTACGAGAGCTTTATCTAAACCTCCCTTTTTCGACGCGCAATTCATTTACTCCATTCATTAGATAAATTTTACCTTTTTAGAGTGACAAGTCTTTCCAGTCGCTCCACAAGGGTCAGAGTGTGTGTTCGCACCAGGACTTTCGGGCTGCAGTTCATAGAGACAAAAAAAAACAAATTTCTTATTAGACCTGCTTAGCAATATACGATCATGTCATTGGAAGAACTTTGGTTTCAGGCAAGTGATATGAATACCCAGAGGTCAGGTGGGAGTAAGGGAGGGGGTAGGGGGAATCAGCCATGCCTACCCTGGATCCGCCACGGGATAAGTTTTCAATGCGACGAAGACCAGAAAAAAGTAAGGAACGAACAGAACGCGTGTCCTCTAATCAAACAGAGAGAGGATGGAAAGAAAAAAGAAAATTAATGTTCTCTTACGAGAGCTTTATCTAAACCTCCCTTTTTCGACGCGCAATTCATTTACTCCATTCATTAGATAAATTTTACCTTTTTAGAGTGACAAGTCTTTCCAGTCGCTCCACAAGGGTCAGAGTATGTACTTGCACAAGGACATTCGGGCTACAGTTCATAGAGACAAAAAAAAACAAATTTCTTATTAGACCTGCTTTACATCCCTGATATTTCTTGTCCGTTGTGCTTGAGTTATTAATTTGTTAGCGACTTTCCAATGTTGAACATTTTCGATGAAAGCACTCAGTCTACTCTGAGACCACTTGGAATATCTTTTCTTCCGAAAATGCCTCAAGATGTAGCAATTTCCGGTCAAATCCTCATTTTTCAATGAATAGCAGGTATTCTTACCGGTGAGAACAGACCTCTCCACAGCTTTTCCAGCCTATCAACTTCTCTCTGTCGATTGGTCTGAAGCTGTTGGAGTTTGCCAAAATCCTTTTTTTCTTCGGCGGTCATTTTTCCTTGTTTCGTTACCAAATCCTTAACTCGATGCACTACGTCGTTGTGTTCTGCTCTGAGACCGTGATACGCAAAGTCGTAAAACTCTCGTCTAACCTCCTCACTGCATTTACAACACTCAGCCCCCATGGAGAGGACAGAGGTGTATAACTCTTGTAGACTAAAACTGAGTCTCGATAAAAGGTCGAGCTGGACAGGAACTTTCAGTTTGTCTTCCTTTACTTCTTGCACTTGCAGTACAAATGTTACATTTGTGCGAAGGAGCTCATTGAGGTCTTTCAGCTTTGCGTCGATTTCACCCTCTGTATCTCCTCGACCTGGTGCGTGAGAATCTGTGGTATCTTCAGAATCATCCTCTCGGGCCGAATTATCGAAGTTCTCGGCCAAATCCTGCAAAAGTACACAAAACTTTCCTTTTTATCAGAAGAAAAAGAAAGACAATTAAGTCATAATTAATACATAGCAGGTTTAATTTCTGCAAAAACTATATAATTCTTGGGTTGTGCAAAAACTCTCAACAAGACGCGCCGCTCGCAACAGCTGACAATAGTTATCTCTATTACCAGGAGCCCATTAAGTGATAAGTAATGGCTCTTGTTTTTATGCAAGTGATTCGGGAATATGCGAAAAACCGCACAATTCTTGTGCAAAAAAATTCTTGCAAAAAAATCATTATGATTTTAATTCTTGCGAAATATTTCATCGCTACTTTTTTTACATTTTCGCTTGGGAAATATGAGCTATTTCTATGGCGTTCAACATAGATTAAGTAACATGTGCCTACCAGTTCTGACTTGTCTTCTCTTGTTCCAGCCAATTCCTCTTCCAGTTTCAAACCTCTGGTCTTCCACTCTTGACCCTGTGTCACATATTAGATGAAATCAAAAGATAAAAGTTCAGAAATGTCTTTTGGTTGATAATTATTTTTTGGAGCATTGAGCAATTGTTACAGAAAATCATGGAAATTCATCCCAATTATATTGGAATGAGCTGCAAGGTATGTCTGATATCTTAAGAAGCAAAAACAAAAACAGAGCAGAAAATGTGGTTACCAACCTCTTGGGAAGTTTCGTGAGGCCATTGTTTTACTATGGACAGTTCTTCCTCCAGTTCTTGAATTCTTGTGCGTAATTTCTGGTTCTGTTTATTAAACAACATAAAGGAAAATAAACTTTTCGGTTTTGTGTCTATCAGCGGGAAATTATCAGATAAAGTATCCGTTGTTTAACAAGAAATGGTTCGTAACCATGCTGGTTGGAAACGTAAAGAAAATCAGATATCCAACTAGCTACTCATAAGAAATTAAAATTATTTACCAACCTCTTCTAAACTATCTTGAAGCTGTTTTGTCATACTCTTCTTTTCTTTTTCGAGCTCCTGCTTTCTCACTTGCAATTGGTGGTGCTGTTTATTGATGAACATAAGTCCGTTTTAATTTCGTGCTACGTAATTCTGTTAAAAATCAGAAGAACTAAACTTTCAAATAATTCCTTACCTCTTTTTTCAAATGCTCCCAGTTTTTCTCTATTTTATCTTTTGTACTCTCCATCTAAAATAAGACGACAAATCAAACTTTAAAATTTTGCAGGCCAATGACTTTTCCATGGGCTAAACTCTTGCTTAGCCGATGACTCCTTTATGGGCTAAACTCTTGCTTAGTTCAAATTTTTAACCGAAAGAACGTCTTAGATCTTACAGAGAACAAAACTTTATCCAGCAAATATTCTTAGGAGGGCTTAAGGCATCATCCAATTACACCTAAAGTTGCTAAAAGTTCGAGAATTTACTTGATTTGAGTCGTTTCTTCCTACCTCGTCGTTCTCTTCTGATGACAAAAGACCTGGAAATTAAAGTTATATTAAAAAAATAGTAAAGGCACTGTTTAATATTTCCATTTTTCATAATTAAAACGAAAGAAATAGCTCTTTTTTTCTTAGGACCCAAAAATGGGTCAAGTATATCATAGATAAATAAAAGTTACTGACATGAAAGAAATCATCCCGGGAAAATAAAGTTGTATTGGGAAAATCTTACAGGCACAGGGTTGTACTTTAACTTTAGAAAATGAAATATTTAGTTCATCCTTAATCGCGTGTCAACCAACGCTTTGACGAATACGGAGTGACATTACATACCCGGAAGTTTTTCAGCTACGCTCCTGAGTCCTATCTTTATCAAAACTTCAGCAAACTTTTCGACAGTAGCATCATCTCCCTTCTGTTTAGTCCACCTTACAATGATCGCAATGCAGCATTCGGTAATAGAAGGGCCCTTGTCAATCTCGATCGAGTCAATGACAGCTTCTGTGAACTTAAGTTGTCGTGCCAGGTCTCTCCACTTGTTCTCAATCTGCTCGGGTAAGAGACGTTTATTCATATTTTCCTCTGTCATCCGAAGTTTCCCGCTGCACTTGTTGCTGGAAAAACCTGTTAAAAGTACCATAGCTCAGAGTTAAAAAGAAGGCATGCTACAAAGCGTTAACAGGTTCCATTCAGTAAATTAGTTGCGGAGAAAAAGTACAAAAGCGATAAAATTTTCCTTGCGTAAATGATAATAAGACACAAAGATGTTCGTGATGTTCAACGGTCTGCTGCTAATGCGCCAATAGTTTATTCTTGCATCATCGATGTTCGTGCATAATGTCATCCGAAGAAGGTACAACAACTTAGAGTTACATAGAGTGCATGCGAAGACTCATTACGCAGAAAAATGGTTATGGTGAAAAAGTGCAGAAGCGATAATGATAGACAGACACAAAGATGTTCTCGATGATCGACAAGCTGCTGCTCATACGTCAGTAATTTATTCATGCATTACTGACCGATACATTTTTCCTGGGAACAAGAAAGGTTTTGTTTCCGTCATCTTGGTAGACTAAGACCGAATCCTTATAGACATCCGATTGGCTAGTTTTACTGATTAGGAGAAATAAATAGAATAGGAAATAAATTTATGCGCGGACGTGTTGGCCGACGAGCCGAGCCCCCGATAACTTTTGTTGACCCAAATGATATGAGGTGATTAGGTATCTCATTAATTAATTAGTGGTCATCCAAACGGGCAAATAAAACGCCAGACATAATTATGACGTAGGAGAAGCGTTAGCATTAGCATTTAACATCCTTATCTCACAGCAACCTTAGAATAAATAAAACTCCTCTTCTGTTGATTCTCGGGAAGGCTTGAATGATTATGATACTGCCTATTAGCTACGATTGCTATTAACGAAACTAATATGGAAGCTATACTATTATCTTAACAGTCAGCTGGAAGCAGCAGGAATGTTAGGACTTATTGAGCAACAAATCACATAGAAAACTAAAAAAAAAAACAATTAGCCTTGCACATTGAAAATTAAGGATGTAAAAAAAACCGCCAATTTTGTTGCCTGTGAACTACATCTTAGCCATAAGTTTTCCCCTGCATTGCGGAAAACTTAGCCGCAATTAAATAAGAAAAACAATAAGCCTTGCACGTTGAAAATTAATGTTGTAAAAAAAACCGCCAAAGCCATAAGTTTTCCCCTGCATTCCTGAAAACTTAGCCGCAATTAATTGGATTATCCTCCACCCTAATTCTAAATCTGCGACCTTAGTTATCTCAGAGCACCAGCATGCATATAGCCAGAAACTTACCTTCTTCTGTTTCGTTTTCATTATTATCCATCATATCAGAATCTTCATCCTCTTTATCAGATGTTTCTGTATCTCCAAGATAACCCTCCTCAGCTAATTGGGCTTTCACCACTTGTGTTACCCCTGAGAAATGACATGGTCGGCAAAAGCATTCATGTTAAACAAAGAATCAGTGCATTATGGTACAATTTGTCACGACCAAGATTTCGTATCACAGAACTAAAGTATACAGTTCTCCAGTTATATTGCAATCTTTTTAGCTCCCAGTAATAACAAAAGTTGAAATAATCCACACATATATATTTACTACTACATCATTCTCGTAAATTCACGATAATGAAAATATTGACCCTTTACTTCAAAATGTTAACTTGGAGAAGGAACTTTCAATGGCGATTGACTTTATATGAATATCTGTCAGTTCCACATGCCCGATAAAAGAGGGCTGGTGGGTGATATCGAGTTAAGTTTTTACCATTATCTTAATCATTCGTTGATTAGTCATTAATTCCAGTCTTAAAAAGAGATACAGAAAGAAGAGAAAGCCTAACTTCCGTTACGAAACGTATTCCCTTATACATCAAAATTAATCGGCTTGATCATAATTTTGTTTTTCACAGACTGCTAACGGATCATTTTGCCGATTTAGGGCATCGCGAAAGGAGCCCCCTTGTAAAGAAATTGCCTCAGCCATGATTTCCAAGCACTTCCGTAAATAAGGAATAATAAGGGAAAAAAGCTTGAGCGTTATCCTGACCATTCTAAGTTTGTTTAAGTCTAAGAACCTCTCTTTCTAATTATCCCTTGAAATTAAACTTTTTGAGACGGTAATTCGTTCAAACAAGGTGAAAGATTTTACCTGTCTCATGGTACTTTTCCGCTGCAAATTGGTCACTTCCATCATTTAAGCCAAACTCTCTCTCGAAACGCTTTACAGACTCCTCAAATTCAGCAAAGGCTCGTTTAGTGCGCGTACTCTGCCAGGTTGTTGGATTTTCACTCTCCCTGTAAGTGTGAGCTCCCTTTGCCACACACTCAGCGTTCAGTGTAGTGAATGTGACGGTAACAGGTCCTGGAGCGTCACCACCTATTTAATACAAATTATTAATACAATGATTCAGGGCATCGCGAAAGGAGCCCCCTGTAAAGAAATTGACCCAACCATGATTTCCAAGTACCTCCGTAAATAAGAAATAATATGGAAAAAAGCTTGAGCGTTATCCTGACTATTCCAAGTTTGAGTCTACGAACCTTTCTATCTAATTATCCCTAGTAATTAAACTTTTTGAGAAGGTAATTCGTCCAAACAAGGTGAAAGATTTTACCTGTCTCATGGTTCCCCTCCGCTGCACATACGTCACTTTCATCACATGGGCCAAACTCTCTCTTGAGACGCTTTACAGATTCGTCAAAGTCATCAAATGCTCGTTTAGTGCGCGTACTCTGCCAGGTTGTTGGATTTTCACTCTCCTTGTAAGTGTGAGTTTCCTTTGCCACACACTCACCGTTCAGTGTAGTGAATGTAACGGTAACAGGTCCTGGAGCGTCACCACCTATTTAATACAAATTATTAATACAATGATTCAGGGCATCGCGAAAGGAGCTCCCCGTAAAGAAATTGACCCAACCATGATTTCCAAGCACCTCCGTAAAAAAGAAATAATATGGAAAAAGCTTGAGCGTTATCCTGACCATTCTAAGTTTGTTTGAGGCTACGAACCTCTCTTTCTAATCATCCCTATAAATTAAACTTTTTGAGACGGTAATTCGTCCAAACAAGGTGAAAAATTTTACCTGTCTCATGGCTTCCCTCCGCTGTACATTCGTCACTATCATCACATACGCCAAACTCTCTCTTGAGACGCTTTAAAGACTCGTCGAACTCATCAAAAGCTCGTTTAGTGCGAGTACTCTGCCGGGTTGTTTGATTTTCAGTCTCCTTGTAAGTGTAAGTTCCCTTTGCCACACACTCACCGTTCAGTGTAGTGAATGTGACGGTAACAAGTCCTGGAGCGTCACCACCTATTTAATACAAATTGTTTCGTCAATGTAACGTAGAGTTTTGACGATTTGTTTCCCTTCACCTGAACATATAAGATGAAGAAACTCAACCTGATAAGGGACTGGGAAAGAGGGCAACTGAGGACAAGAGCTCTTAACCACACCTACAGAATAAGAAACACTGCATACGTCGGCGGGTAAACTAAGTAAAATGAAGGCTGAAAGCAGTGTAAAATCATTTTTTAACATAATCAGAGAATAACAGAGGACACTTACGAGGAATTCCCTTTCCAGACAGAGCAAGACCATCTCTTGATACCCTTACTTTCACGGACCTCTTGCCAAATATTGCCCAACCTGTTTTCACGGAAGGAGGGAGCTCTTCCTCTATTTCTGCCTGAAATAATCCTCCGCCCTAAATGAAAAGGAAAGGGAAAAATACCTCAAATTCCTGCCTTTTTGTATGTTTGTTTTTTTACTGAAGTTCATTTATTTCATAAACAAATGTTGGTGTGTTTGTTTGCTTATTGGATAACGGAAATGTACTCATTCATGATGCCAGAGTCGTCGGGGTTTTCCCGCAAGAATTTGCCTCGAGATTTTAAACTTTCCGTCACGAATAATTAAGTGTTTGCACTCTCTCACAATAAGAATTCGCTTAATAGCAGTAACCAGTACACTGAGGCTATCACGCTCGCAATTGAATCCCCGTCTTTTGTACAAACTGTTGAATAAACTCCAAGTGAATTTGCTCAGGGCCTCCGGTTTCTACTTTTTAACGCTTTTATCATAGCTGTTTCTGAAAGCCCAAGACTTCCCGACCTTTAGGCAGCTGCTTGTGCTTTCTTGGGTGGTTTTTCCTGGATTAAAACGTTGTTACTTTATCTTAACCTGTTTGCAATTTTGTTTTTTTGTGCTTGCGCGACTCTCCTGTCAATCAATTTATTTTCATCTTTCTGCAGTCAATTTGAACTTTCTGAACTGTTTGAGATAAATTGATGTGTTCTCGATCAATGAGCATGCTGAAAATTTTGCAAGCATATTATTAGCATGAACACAAAGAGAAACTCCTTCCTAAATTGTATATTATTCGATAACACCTCTGGTTTCCGCTCCCGTAACTTTGATTAACAAATCAGAATAGTAAAATACGAATCTACCTGCAAAGGCCCCTCTGTGGGTTCCATTGTCGCTTTTTGTATTCGTAGAGATATTGGAGGGTTGGGAGCTTGGGCATTCGCTTTAAGAACAATAATGCAAAACTAAGCAGTTAAAATCTATGACGAAGTTCCAGACGCAAAGAAAGTTTAATAACGACACAGTATCTCGTTACATACTAGTAAGAACTTAACCAATATGGTTATAATGCGTTTTACCCTTTCGAAATGTAACTTTATAACTTGAAGATTGGGTACGAGATGGGATGTTGCTCACTTTACCTAGTGATAATATTTTTATGTAATAAAATATGTGCTTATTGTTCATCGTGGTGTAAGATAGGAGATGAACTTTGTTCGTTTGTCTCACGATAGAGTCACTTTTGAACTTCATTAAAAGTGGCTCTATCGTGAGGCAAACGAACAAAGTTCATCTCCAATGTTTTTACGGTTGCCATTTATCCATCTCAGCGGAGATATAAAGAGAAGAAAGTCTTTCCCACGACTACAACAAAATGCTCAGGCCATCGCTCGAACCCAGATCTCCATTCCCGTTGCCGCGCACGCTATTTACTAGACTACGTCAATCCGGATCTACATCATGTAATTGACACCTCCATAACCCATAAATAGAGTAATACCAGTGATAATTGAATTTGTCTCTTACGCTGAACCACACGATAAGTGTTTTCAAAACCAAAGCCTTTTCATGAGTTTTTTTTCTTCAACTGAACTGTCGATAAAGAGAGCCTACTTCAGATTTCGATTTCCTGTTTTAGCTTAGCGTTTCACGGAAAGGTTTATCCAGTTAACTTCGTTAAGTTGTTTGTCTCATTTTTCCCGTAACTTTGTTGCAAAAATCAAGCTTAGTCAGTCTAATCGTAGATACTATTTTCTTGGCCAACCTCACCTTCAGACGAAATACCACTGTCAGATTGTCCGGAAGAATCTCTTTTGTCGCTTGGTAAACAATCTTTCCCCATCGCCTACAGTACATTAGAGAAAAACACACATATTTTACTCTAAGCAATTATAGACACCCGGGCAACTGTGTCTTCATACACTATAAGCGTCGGAGATCTTAAAATCAACTCAAAAGCAAATGTTCGAAATCGGCAAAAAGACGTACATAAACTTAATGAGTTGGTCGAGCTTTAATCTCGTCTGTTACAGACGATGCTTACTCTTTAAAACAAAACATGGTTGAACCATAACAAAGTTCAACCATAAAAGAGTTCAGTCAAACAAATCACAGGCATTTAACATAAGAAGCACTAGTTTTCTGATTGAATAAATTGATTGCCTGTCAAGGTTCACTGATACAACTTATAGAGGTTATTGTACCCTGATTGGCTTTGTCACTCGACCCCGTTGCGTTGTTCCGTGGGCACTGAATATTCCATTCTGAGAAACGGTTTCTATATCAAATAATCAAAATCATTAATTTTCACTCGGTGTGTTGTAATGTCCAAAATGTCAATCCAGAATTGCCCTAACTTGATTTTACTGACACAAATAGTTACCTAAACACCATTCAAAACCCTATATACAAAATAAAGCTTTAAGGTTTCAGAAAGAAAATCTAAATTTTAAACCATGAAAATTTCCAACTAAATCTTCTCTCCTATGCAAACCAAAGGAGTTTTGATTTGTATGTCACACTTTCAATTTATGTGAAAAAGTGGATAGTCAAGCTTTCCTGACCCACCCTCTGACGAACTGAAAGCACTGTCATCGCTTTGAAGGGCATCAGTGGCGGTTGAGGGAATCTGATTTTGTGGCTGGTAAAAAAGAAAAAGAACAATCGTTTTAAAAGATGCCTCAACTGCATGTGCTAAAGATGCTAGATGTTCATTCTTTTGATAGGACAGTTTTGAAAGGTATGTGCGAGGTTTTGTCCCAAGTAAGAAAGTAATTATGCTCATTAACCTACTCTAGATTACATTTATGTGAATGAATCTCGATAATGGACATATCGTTTCGCTTTGACATCATTTCGTTTAAGAGGGCTTGTCTGTAAAAATCAGACAAATTCTAAATTTCGCGGCAAGGGTGAAAAATTCGATTTCTTTCTTATTTTAATATTAGATAGGCTAGACTATAACTAAAATCACTGGATACTTTTTTTGGAAAAATATCTTTTTTTTTCAGAGAAAAATACAAATAACAAAATTCCGTTAAAATCGTCATTTTTAGCAGCAAATTATTGCACAAGTTTGAGGGCTTCGCATTCAAAAACGAATCACAATCTCGTCTTTTTAACACTCAAATCTTCTTTTTCAACCTCATAAGACCTCACAAAACGATTTTTGTAAACACGCGTTCCTGTTTGCGTGTAAAATAATTTAATTTTTAAAGCATACATTTCTCTTCAGTAAAAGTACTTTGTGAGTAAAGTTAATTTTCAGCATGTGCTAAACCTTCAAATGGGTTAAGCTTTGGGCGGTAGAATTACGAAAAGATGTTCGCAATATTACTGTAAAAATTTCTTTGGGCAAATGATTGAGAGCGATACGAAAGCTTTTCAAAGTCCGTTAAAATGCAGTCATTTGACCTTTCGCGGTCAACATTCCAGTCGCAAGTCACATTAATATGAATCAACCCATATGAGGCCGGAAAATGTACCTGCATACACATTTCTAGATGCTCTAACCTCATTTGCCTTAGAAGAAAGATCCAAAGACCATTTTACTATGGTTATCTTGTCGCTCGTTACTGGGATACCTGTGGTAGCCCAGTCGTAAAATGCCTTTGTTTTTTGTCGAGATTTTGCTTATAAAACTCTTTGGTCAATTGTTTTGTATTTCAACGTAATTGGATTGCGATCTCCTGGAGCATTATGGCGCAAACGCGCAAAATACTTACAGACGCATATACAAGTCGTATTAATCGCGGCTAATCCATGCTGAAAGATATTATTGAGCGGTAATTTTGGAACGGATTGAGTCGCGAACGCTTGAAAGCCATGAAAGCCTTGAATGCCTTGTATGCTAAGTATGCCAATGTCTTAGTTGAAAAACGTTCACTTGTTGTAAAAAGCAAAATCTGAAATCTGAAACCAAACTGCATATACTCTATGCAATCTATAGTTAAAAATAATGCCTTGTTTATTTGAAAATGTTACCTGATTATGTTCTTGACTTCCATTGGTCAACGATGAGGCCTCAACTGCTCCAAAGCCAATGGGGGGTAAGAGATTCTCAAAACCGATGTCTTGAAATAAATTGAAGTGTCGCAAGTCTATGATTACTGTGTCAATAGTCTAATTTTTAGTAGACTAAAGGATGTTCTTCAATGCTTTGGCTAAATTTCGATAGCCCGAGCTACTTTTTTCCACGACGTGGATAATGCCCTTTTCACTACTTCACATTATTCTCCAGTGACTAAAGAAAACCTGCACTAACCAAAATTGCATCAAGCCGAGGAGTTATTAATATGATATACTCAGGATCAGTTTTTTAGCTGGTCGAGCCGCAATCGCATGACATGCAATCCAACAAAATGCAAGGAGATTATTTTCCGTAAGAAAGGTTTCAGTCAGGACATCGCGCCAGTTAGTAATATACTGCAGTGCGCAGAGTTATCCATATTAGCTGTTACCTTCCAACAAAATTGTAAATACAGTAGTCACGTGCGCGCGAAGGTAATTAAGGCGAACAAGTCATTATTCGTATTAGGATCTTTACGTAAGGAAGGAATGTCCCAGGAGGAAGTAGATCACCTTTTTAACGCAATAGTTTTACCAAATTTTTCTTACGCTCTGCCGGTTTATGGTGCCTCAGATTCCGGCCTTTCTGTAATAGAGAATTTTTTAAACCAGTGTATGAAAAGAAAGTTTATGTCCAAGAATGTTAATATCAGGGATTTGCTAGAGAAGGCGGACAAGACACTCTACAAAAAAAGATCGAATGACCCCGAATGCCCGTTCTTCCAGTTTTACCTAAGGAAAAGAACATGAGGTACAATCTTAGAAATACGTCAGTCTCTGTCCCTAGAATCAACACTGACAGGTTTAAGAACGTTTTTAGTAACAGAATAATTCTTAGATATGATATGTAAATAGTTTTTTGAGTTTATATTGTAACTTAGGATATGTGATTTTATCTTAAGAAATAAAGATTTTTTTATTTATTTATTTTTTCTTATACCTAACTTTAATATTCACGAATTCTCCCATATGAAAAGCAGAATTACCTGAGGGGTGGAGAAAGCTTAGGATATCATCCTACATATTAAACAGAGAAAAAAATAATAGAATTAAGTGCTTGAATCAACAGCATTAAAAAACAAGAATGGCGTTTCCTTCAAATTATACAACAGCAGCCACCGGAAAGAAAAGTCGTACTTGGGCGTTAAATTTCATCATCGCTATTTCTGAAATATTTTTCAAATTTTGATTGAAGTAACATGGTAATTTTCGTAACAAAAACCTGGAACCGAGACAATTGCTGTCTATTTCTGATTTAAGATCCACCGTTGGTTTTTACTCTGGTGAAATCGTTCCCAGCTCTGTGGTCTTCCTTACGAAAATAATGAATGAGTTCATGCAACCAAAGCAAAGGTCTACTCATACCCAATTCAGACTTTTTTGTTTGAAATTAAAAAATGTCCGCTAAAATTTACTCAGGACCCCCCTTTTCCAACCAAGAGTAGTATGCAGTGAAGGTGTCTCGTTGAGAAGGACCGCTGCATTATATTTGAACTGAGTTAAAAGTAAACGGAGGGTAACGGGAGTGCTGAATGATTATCTTGGATAGACTATCTTTCACTATTTACCCTTGTATTCTTTCTCTCATTAAATGAAATTCCCAGTGTAGAAACAACTTGAAAATAATAGCAGAATTTACTTACAAGCCACCCAAGATTATTTGTGCTCAAATCTTGTTCCCATTGCGTCGTTTTCTCTGCATTTTCTGGAGAACGATCAAGTTTCAAAGAGTTAACACAATTACAACAAAAGGGGACAGAAGCTTAAAAAATGTCATCTGTGAGTAATTTTGACGATTCATTTTAAAGTAATTATTTGATAGAAAAATGTCAACCATCTTTCTACAATTCGGCCACAAGAAGCTTAATTCATTTAAGAGTTAACCAATTGGTGAAAATTAGTTTTAACTATCACTACATTTTACTTCAGGATCATACTTCAGGATCAGAAGAATGCATGTTTTCGCAACAGAATTATCCTTAACATCATTATTAGCACGATGATTCTCAAAATCAACACAGTACATATGAGACGATCATTAAGGAAGGGATAGGCGTTTAAAGTTGGTAAAACAGGGAGCTCTCAAGCTCCTGCTCCGGATTTCGGTACTTCGCAAATGTCTTTGACAAGTCAAGAAAGATTTTATTTGCACCTTGACCTACATGACGTTAAGATGTTATTCAAATCGTTTCTTCCCTTATTGAAGGAAATTTAGAGTCAATTAGATTCTTACAGATGCCGATCAACCAATATCCATTCCATCATTCCATTATCTTATGGCACGTGTGGCGAAGAAATAAATAAAATATGATCAAATGTTTTATAATTTTTCACTTCTTTTATATTTGTATCAAATGAGAAGAAAATCAATGGACCCATACCTTCATGGTACAAGGGACAATGCAAATTAAAAAAATCAACTTGCCTGTTGAGTTAGTTGTGTTCATAGATGTGACTGTTGTCGCAGATTGTGGTGTTTGTGTAAATGACACCTTAAAAAAAACAGAATTTTCCTTAATCAAAGAAATTAATTAAACCCCTGCAGCTCAGTGGAGTTATGAATCTTGTAATTCAAGTTCTGATTCCAAAACATCGGTGAAAAGCACCAGTGTGGCTGTATAAATGGTGTCTCTGCCCTAAAAGGGATACTGTATATTTTGCCTATTTACAAGGAAAATTCATTATTGAACACATGTGAGGAAATAAATGGTAGACTCACTGCGTGCGTTATCATTTAAAAGATCACTTACAGTCTGGCTATTTTTAGAGTTGTGAGCATCCAGGAATGTAATTTAACTTTTCATACAGTTTTGGAAATTGCCAATAGTTAAAAATGACATTTTACTAATGGTTTTTGCGATCAATATTGTCACACCAATTACCAATTTTCTGTTAAAAAATTTGTTCTTTACCATCTATTATTTGGAGAGAACTTCTTAGTCTTGATTAAGAAAATCATGTGTGTTCCCACATTTTACGAATTGCTTAACTCAGAGTGGCATACCACAAAGTAACTAAAACGAAAGGATACTAAATCAGAAAGTATCTAGGGTTTAATAAGCTTCAAAACTGAGCGGTGTCATGTCTCATATATCGTATGTGTACCTTGTCCTCCACCTCGTCCTCCAGGACTAAATACAGAGCCGACTGGCCTTTTACTTTCCTTTTAATCGTTCGTCCATCCCAAACACGGTGTTCACCATGAAAATTTAATCGAGCGCTAGTCTGTCCGTCTCGTGTTGCACACGAAAACCTAAATAATAATAAGCAAAAAAATAAAGGGGTTTGGTTGGCATATTCGCAAAAGTGATTCTTCAAATTTCGCACTTCCATTCTATATAATTCAAAGCCATAAGGATCATTCTGCACTGGTTTACTAATGAATACGATTTGTTTTGAAAAAACATTGCCATATTACGTTATGACGTACTTACGCACAGTCTGCACTTACCTTTTATTTGACAAGATAGGAGAGAACAGGTTTTCAAGCAAGATCCTCACATCATAATCTTTCATGTCTTGAGAAAATGTCACGCCACTTTGGAACCTTTGTCCTTTTCTCAATTGTGCAATTTCTGATAGGGTCAATGCAGTCTTGGTTTCCTCTTCGGTAAGTAAGTAGATATTTTTTTTGAAGTCTTCCATAGCTAAATAAGAAGCGTCGGATAAGATGCCATACAAACCCTTCCTTTCTTTCGTTTTTTATAAATTAGAATAATGAAATTGTTCATTCTCAACAGATCACAGCCAAGCTGTTTTTGCTGATTTGTTCCGCCAACAATGAAAGCCCTTCAGTTTTTCACCCGGGGATGTGTACAAAGTGGGAACCAGTGATGCAATATCTTTATATTGCTATCATAATTGCCATAAAATAATGCTTTCTTTACAGCAGAAGTATAAATAATATAGCAAAATGAATAAAGCTATGGGGACATCAATTCTTTAGTTTCTTCATCTTGAATACTAATCCACCAGCTACCCAAATTCCTTTTAGTTTCCAGAAGCCCAATTCTGTTCCACGGAATCACAGAGTCACTGGCTTTAAGTCAATGTTTATTCTAAGTATATTCTGCATAGTTTATCCAAGCGCGAGTTAATCACTGCGTCAATTTGACTTTTCTCTTTTTGCACTTCACTATATCTAATCGTTGATTTCAGCCAACTCTAAACTGGTAACAGATCAGCTATAGTCTATGAGCTGGTAAAATGGTTTGACCCATCAATTTTTTGATGAATGAATAGCATGTGAAACAGCACGGTTTTAGTTCATCTGCTTTCCCTTCAGGTGATCATTTCCAAGATACGCCTGGGAGAGAAACCAATCAAACGAATCCATTGGGAGCAAAACACTGTATATTCGTCCCGGCCACCCCGAAATTCTACGCGATACAACTAATGCAACGTAAAAACACACTCACAAGTAATTTGCGCGAAAACGAAATCCACAACAATATGACAACAAGTTCCGCAATAACAATTGCATCCCATGCGATGATGTTCCTTTACGCTCGTGTTCCTCAATTCAAGGTCATGTACAATGAAATGGAATTTAAGGCCGCCAATTCCAGCTTTCTGATAAAGCGTTATCCGGATATCGCAAACCGTTAGAGCCTTCAAAATTATGGTTCAATTCTTAACAGACAATTTAATTTCAGCCTCTATTTCAGGAGAAAAAATCGATCAAAATGTTTCCCGTTGCGATGTTGCTATGGCGCTATTTTCTGACCTAACCCGATGGACATAATAATAAGGGTAATCAAATTTCACTTATTTGATCCTATTTTGGATCTTCGCGGATTTTCATACAGCTCGCAAGTTTTCCATTCTATTTTATTTCTACAACTATGAAAGTTATGGCTCAGATTTCTGATGGCAACTCGTCGAGTACAATATCCTCGCAAAATATCAACAACTAGTTCTATCGAGGGAGACGAGTAAACGTTAGTCCTTGGGAAAACTTATGTCCATCGGTGAAAGCTTGTAATATGTAGGCCGCATTTTAAGCCTGATCCGTGTTTTATATCGAGTCAGTAGAATGCAGTCTGTGTTTCATTCTGACAGTTTGTCTTTGTACCAAGAATGTTTAACTGTACTAGGCGGAAATTCAAGATGTGTTCTATATAACAATCTCGCCTCTAAAACGAGTCAATTTTTTTCTCTCACCTGAGAAATGTACACCTTAGAGTAGTCGTAAAAGGGTACAGGACTTCTTTAGACCCAATCCTCAGCGACTCGATGAGTCATGACACCGAAAGCGACGAGGTGATTTTGCATTGCACATACATTGAATGATCACATGACCATCACAAAGAAAATTGACTTGCTATGACATCTAGTTTTTCCTGTCTCCAAAATTACTTGGTTAGTCGGGTATGACCTAAGCAGGCTCTGGTAAAGTTGTTTAAACAACGGAACAGATTCAGAAAACAGTACTCTCTTTTCAGGCAGGAAGTTACAAGCAATAATGACCAAATGATTTGAATACCAAAATAACGCTGAATAGCCGTGTTTGTGGTCATATTCGACCCTAAATACTTTCAGAGGCTGACGGGAAGTCATAGTTGCAAAAAGTCAGGAAAGAGTGACTGAACTATATTTTTTCTCAGAGTAAAGGAGAGGTTGTGGAAGGGTCGCAGCAGTTAAGCATCGTTTTACCAAGATGAACGGAGACTGCAATCATACCGAACGAGCTCATCATCCTCGTTAGCTTTCGCTACTTCAACTTGAATATTTTTACAGAAATCGACCTTCCACCATAATTTAAAAATGTAGAAAGTTCATGAAAGCGTCACGCGTTCTGTGATGCGGTGTTAAGTAACTGGATGTCATCTTTGTGTCTGTTGTGGTTTCGGGCGTTCATATCCACACATGAGGATAGTCAAATTTCAGTTATTCGACCTTATTAGGTTCTTCACAGATTTACATACAGCTCACAAGGTTTTCATTCTGTTTTATTATACGCCAATGAAAGTTGTAACTCAGATTTCTGATAGCAACTCGTTGAGTACAATATCCTCGCAAAACATCGACAACTACTTCGATCGGGGGAGACGAGTAACGTTAGTCCTTGGAAAAACTTTGCTTAATCGTTCTACACGTCATTTATGTCTAGCAGTGACAGCTTGTAATATGTAGGTCGCATTTTAAACCTGATCTGTGATTTATATCCAGTCGATGAGATGTAGTCCGTGTTTCATTCTGACAGTTTGTCTTTGTAACATGAGTGTTGAACTGTAAGCGGAGATGCAAGATGCGTTCTACATAACAATCTAGCCACAAAAACAAGTCAATTTTTTCTCTCACCTGAGAAATGTACACCTCTGGCAGCTACAGAGTAGTTGTAAAAGGGTACAGGACTTCTTTAATCCCGATCCTCAGCGACTTGATGAGTGACGAAACTGAAAGCGACGAAGTAAATTTAGCACTGATTGAATATACATTGAATGATCACATGACCATCACAAAGAAAATTGACTTGCTAATGACATTAGCATTTTAAATAAGCATCGTTTTACCAAGATGGACGGAGACTGCAATTACACCGAACGAGCTGACTCTCCTTGTTAGCTTTCGCAACTTTAACTTGAATATTTTTACACAAATAAACCTTCCATCGCAGTTAAAAAATGTAGGAAGTTCAATCCTTTTCGTCACATAAGTCAAATCTCGTCCTGCGCAATAAACCCAATTCTAGTTATCGATCCAACTGTTTGAGACATGTTTTGTACATGTTTAGCAAAAATTAAATAATGTGGCCTACGTGGAGGCCATGTCGCTAAAAACAAGCAAAATGTTTGCCTTACCTGAGAAATCAAAGACTCTGGCAGTCATACAGTGACCATAAATTGGGAGAGAGTAGCTTCAGCTTTGATCGTCTACTACAATTGTTATTTCAGACAGGCCAAGTGCTTTGGCATACATAAGTGAATGATCACATGACAGTCGTACAGATTATTGACATTTTTTCTTGATACTTTCAATTACCTCATTGATGTTGTGTTGTATTTACGCAATAAGGAGTCATCGATATATAAGAAAATGAACAAAAGCCTCCCTCAGCTCAAAAATGGAAACTACTGAAAACATAATTAATATAAATTAGCCTGACGTGACCGAGGCAGACTCTAGTGTTGTTATTGGAACAAATAAAAGGGTGACTAAAAAACTGAAAATAATAAAATCACAGTAGAAAATCGCCATCGGTTATCTTAGCTCTCAACAAAGGCTTGACAAAAATAGCATTGAATAGTCATGTGACCATATTGTTAATCTAATATTGACAGTTAGTACTTTCGAAGCCCGCAGGAAGTCGTGTGTTTATTTTAGAATCCTTATTTTACCGCTTCTATCTTTTCTTACTTCTTACTTCTTAGTTCTTTCTTCTCTCCTCTTTCTCTTTTCACGATCACTTCGAAATGTAAACGCGGTGCGAGAATTCTAGGACAAGACTGAATATCAAGCGTTTGAAAACTATGATATCTCAGGGGAGGCCGCGTGCCATCCAGCATTCACTATCAAATAAGGCAGAGAACATTCACCATCCACATCAGCAGCGCGACGACTTATTATCTAAAAAAAATGGAGCTTTGAGTGTATGGACATGCACTATTAGAAAATTTATCATCACAAGCATCCGACGATCCATCGCACGTCTGCAAAGTTTTCGTCTGAGTGACGCTATTTTTAGAAACATAATGTAATAAGCACATTCATTCGGAGTTTCTCGTTTATCTTGCGCTCATGTTTAGGTTTATTTCGTAAGCACCCTAAAACCGGTTTTATGCGGAGTTTTACACGATTGTAAAGCCAGATTAAAAAGTATTTCAAACCGAAAAAGATTCAATGGTCTAGTATTAGAGCACGAGCAAAACTTTCGATTGAAACGCCAGAGACACGGGGTCGAATTGAACTTACATTTGAAGTGATTATCGATCAAAATGAACTACACTCTTGTCCGTAAAAGAGTCTTATTCTCCGCTTACCTGAGACATTTCTACCGACTGTTCTTGTTATGGAGAATATAGCCAATTAAGTCGGTAAGAAAACCTGACTTATCAACATTCAATGAATAAAGGAAAAGTGACGTTTTTTTCATACTGTTTTTGACGAGAATTCAAAGCAGTATCCCATACTGAAAGTCATCGACCGAATGAAGTTGAAGGTGCGTTTACTTTTAAAGCGAGATTCATTTGTATTTAATTACAGGCGTCTCGAGAAGAAGCAAGCGATTAATTCATGAAAGTGTCGCGCGTCGTGTGGCGCGGTGTTAAGTTACGAGATTATAAGACGAAGCCAAGGCAGCACACGACGATTTCCACCGAAAATCTTCCCAGTTGGTATTTTTCTCGGCCAAAGTTTACGATCTAAGACATTACACCCTGGGACACGTCTCAACACCAAACCTTCGTCTTATAACAGGAATAAGAGTGATGGCAAAGCAAGCTTAAAACGGCAGAGAACGCCGGAAACCACAACGTACACACAAGATGTGAGTAAATTCTATTGATTTTACGTGTAAAATGTTCATATTTCGAAATATTTATCGTTGTAAATCGACCATATTTCGTTCCCCTTACAATAAATTTTCAACGGTTACTCTCGTAACTTAACACCGCGTCACACAACGCGTGACGCTTTCATGAGTT